GCGCACAGTATTCTCCACGTACGCGTAAATATACAGACTTCGTTAAACAGCGTTAATTGTACTACGAGAATGCATGTAAAATATGTACGTATACGCTGCGTGCCACCCAAGGCGGGCATGTGTGAAAGAAACCATAAAAATACGTAGCGCATATATACGTATATTCCACGATTTGTATACGTAATCATATCTGCGTATACTAAACGTATACCGTGAATATACACATGTATATCTTACGATTTACGTTTGCCTCCTGGTTTGCCCCCTAGTTTGCCCCTGCAGTCCTTCAAACAGCTTTCTTCTGTAATCGCATGTTCATTGACAGAGGAGACAGTCTCCGACTTGCGTTTGTTCTTATTCTTTTTACGCCTTTTCTTGAGTGGACTATTATCACTGGTGTCCGTGGTACGTTCGGATGGTAACTCACCGACATCAAATGTTTCCTTTGCTTTGGATTTCTTTCTTTTTCCACGCTTTGCTGGTGAAAAATCTGTCGTGTCAATATCAAAATTATCACTCCCCGTGCCACTGCACGATTGACGCGTTTTCTTCAGTTTCCTTCTTGCCTTTATAAAACACTTCCTATCTGTATAGGACGGCATATTAACGTACGTGTCGGAAAGGAGGCACACAGCGATAAATCTCACTTTCTTCGGCCATATTTATACTGAACGACCAGATGTCCACAAGACTGCATCTCCCCACAATTTGAATATTTATTGTTATGTAAATAAATATGTTATTTTTTCGAACACGGATCGGTTACAATTTGCATACACATAAAATTGCATATGCTAGCTCAGACGGTGAAATCACGTGGACTTGAATATTTCCCACCAGCTGTAACGGTAATTTTACTTTAGTGATTGCCGACATTCCAAGCTCAGTCTTTGGAATCCGTCATGCTATTCATTCTAAGTGCCGGGACTATTTGCCAAGCTGCAGTTTACAATGTGATCAAGGCGTTTTTTTTACGTCGTCGCAAACGTCGCATTGTGACGGTAAAATGAGCAGATAAGTATATAGAATTACATTCTTTATTACTTGGTTAATTTATTTGACTTGACGGAATCGAAAACAAATTCTCTCCCTCCATAATTTCGCAAGTGTAAAATATCAGGTTCCGTACAACGTATTATAAACGCTTGACCATCTGAGCAACCTAAATAGCAGGCCGTTTTTCAACGACTTAACCAGTTAGCTAGCTGGAGTGGTAAATTCTAGCATACCCATATTGACGGCGGCTTTTCACCAACTTGACCGGAAAAGGGTTAAAGACAACCCATCGAGCCCTGAAGGCAGAGTTGCTTGAGCAGAACTACCAGCCTCCTAGACCAGGCGACATT